ACGACCTCTGAGTGTCCATGGTGGTCTACACATCTTGGGCGTTAGATCTGGATCCCATATGGATTTTCTGGCATAGATCTGAGGAGTATGGTGTGCGCTTGAGTATGTGAAACACTAGATCTGTTGAACAAATATTAGAAAAAATACAACATGCATGACTGGGGACTCGAACCTCAGTCCTTTCCTTAACACGCGCACTTCATCACCATCTGAGTTACTGATCATTCATTGATCCAACTAATAAAACAATATTATATACCAAAGTTAATCAGAAATATCCAAAAAAAAATGCGCGTTGGATTTGAATTATCCAATGAGAGGCTGCCACACATTCATCTTCCTCCCTCATCCGTCGTCTTAGCCTTGGACCTATAGTGACAGTTTTTGTCTGTCATTATAGCACCTGTAAACAAAAAAAAAACAAATATACGCATGATAAATTTATGGTGAGGCTATGGATGAATTGGCCTCAACCTCCTGAGCACACAGAGACCCTTGGTTATGCCTAATTTTGGCTATTTCCATAAATCCTAATTTTAAGCTTAGAACCCTAACAATGGTGGCATTCGATTCCTGCGTCAAAACTCAAATCTAACCATACAGAAAGCTTGCAAACATAAGAGTGGTTAATAATGCATGATTAAAATGTGTTTATATCATATAAATCAAGGAAATCAGAATCAAGAAAAAATGCAAACCGTGAGGTGGTTATAACACGCTCCAGACTGTTTTGGGACTTGGTAATGGCTGGGAACGATCCAGAAGGCTTCCAGGAATATGTTTGAGCCTTTGTTTGGGATTAAAACCAACTGCAATTTGAAATTCACGTTTGACAATTTTTGAGTTTTTGGGTGAAATGTGCAGCAACTCTCTAGGCTTATTGTGCATGCATTTGGCTGGCTAGAGTGTTGTTCTTATAGTGTAGATGAAGGAGACACCATTGAATGGAAAAGATCATGGCCATAACTCATGTTTTCCAACAAAAATCCAACAAATTCAAAGTCTTCCAAATTTGTTAAAACATGCCTTATCCTTGCTTGAATGAACATGGTCATGTTTGTACGAATCCTTGGGCCTCTAAGCAAGCCAAAGCATCAGCCCAAATGCCTAAACCCATTTCCAATTATTCTGTACCATTTATTTTATATTTATTTGAAATAAATTAAAATAAATATGTAAAAATAGATAGAAAATGCAAGGCCATGCAAAAATAAGATTAGAGGTCCTCTACAACCTTAGGAAGATATTTGAACCTTAAAAAGTTAGGACATTGACTCAAAATTCCAAAATTGCTCAATGCATCATTCTTGAATTTTCCAAAATTTTCCCAACTTGGGCAAGCCATAACTTGCTCAATTTTCATCTCATGATGATGATCTTATAATTTTTTGAAATCCCAATGTGTCTACTTCAATCCCTCTTTTGATCAATTTTACATTTTAAGATGTTATCTTGGTGTAAAAGGTCTTGAAAAAAAGTGGCTTTTGTTGACTTTTTGAAAATGACCTGTAATGTCTGAGCTCGTATCTTTGAAATGGTGCATTTATTGATCTTGGGGGATGAAGAGAAGTTGTAGGGAATTGGATTCTCTTCAAAATGAGCTTTGGTTGGAAATTTTCTGATATAGTATGAGAAAGTTATTCTTGGTCAAAGTTTGGTTGACTTTTCCTATAAAAACTCTAATTTAGCAATTCTTGACTTTTGATGAATTAGGAGCATTTCTTGAGGAATCATGATCAACCCTTGATCAAATGATGGATATCACTTAAAAATGTTGATGTTGATCAAAAATCTTGAAATTTGACTGTATTTGGGTCACAATTGACTTTTGACGGGAACGTCTCCTTCACATGCACGTTGAAGACATCTCTTCCACGTGCCCGCCAAGAGTATGTGGTCAACGATCCTCCGAATATCATGAAGTCACCCTACTCTCAGAAATAACAGGTCTTCACCCTCCGAGAATCACGAGGCAGTTAAACCAGGATAGAGACTACGAACTGGTCTCCTCTATCCATGTAGGATCCTGGCAGTCTCCATTATAGGTTTGGACATCCGACCCAAATGGAGACATTGGTCCAACACTGGGAATTATAAATATCTACTTTCACTAGATGATCAGGTAAATTATTCTACTTACTCTATACTTGCATTCTCGCTCTGAACCTTACTTGACCATCGAAGTGTCTTGCAGGTATCCCCCATTCACTTCAACAACTACAAAAATCCAAGTAATACCGGTCACTGAAGATCTTTTTGATCCAGATACGATCAGGTTGAAATTATTCTAAGTGGTCTTGATCATATTATGGTTCTTGCTTGTGGGAGATTAATTCCTAGCTTTAGCAGCGTAGTTAAGAGATCGCTTAATTTGGATAAATGAAAGAGCACTCGTGGCCTTATTATAGGTATCAATTTAGCTACTTTATGTCTAACATTCACTAGCTATTGAGAAGTGGAACATATATTATTCTGTTTTTCCTTTTCTGGATAATTTTAGTGGTTATTTACAAACAAAACAAATATTTGATGGTTGCAAGCATATTTTCTTAAGGCAAGAACCATGTGAGCAATGATATTTGAGTTATGATGTTTGTTTTGTGTTTGTTTTATTGAAGATTCAAGACTTCTTTTCCTTCCAAAAATATGCATTATAATCAAATAAATAATGGATACTAATTGGTCTGTAGTTTTGCTTTCCTGTATAATATTGCATAAAATGTACTTGTGACACTTTGAGCAAGCAAGTGGTTGTTGGTTTGATCTCTTATTCTCGCGCACCGAAAAAACCTGATCGAGAGTAAAAAAACTCACTTTAAAGTCAGTGCAATATGACAATATATATTTTGTGTTTATAGCATGGTTAAAAAAAAGTTTAACAAATGATTCATTTCAATAAAAACATGTTAGATCTTTTCAAAGCAAAATAAAAACGATTGACAATGCAAGATTAACTTTTCCCTATAAGGAGGCGTATCGATGTTGAATGGGCGGAGAATGATTGAAGGAATGATGTTGAATGCTTAGCGAAAATGATGGAAGGAGTGACAAATCATATGGATACTGTGAATTGAAAGTTTTTGTTGGATGAGACATTATATGCCTGTATAAAAACTCTTGGAGTGTATAATTGGATATCATTTTGAAAGAGGCCAAAACAATTGTAAAAGCAATTTTAAGTGTAAAATTGATTGATATATATATATATATATATATATATATATATATATATATATATATATATATATATATATATATATATATATATATATATATATATATATATATATATATATATATATATATATATATATATATATATATATATATATATTATATATATATATATATATATATATATATATATATATATATATATATATATTAAAAAAATATATTGTTCATCTAAATATGTTTATATATGAAAACATTATATTTATGATCCATATACAAATCAAAAAATATTTTTTTTTTTTATAAATAATAAACTCTTACGGTAAAATAAATTTCTTTTTCTTTTTATATTTTTATTATATTTTAAAAATAAATGTGTATAACACACTAGTAATCGTGCGAATACACGGATATCTAGATTAGAATTCGTGTGAATGTACATATTATTACATTTTTATACAATTATTAAATAAAATAAGATAAATATATTTAAAATATTGTATCGAATCCAATTAGTGATGTAATCATTTCTCTCACATATATATATATATATATATATATATATATATATATATATATATATATAATATATATATATATATATATATATATATATATATATATATATATATATATATATATATATATATATATATATATATATATATATATATATATATATATATATATATATATATATATATATATATATATATATATATATATATATATATATAATATATATATATATATATATATATTATATATATATATATATATATATATAATATATATATATATATATATATATATATATATATATATATATATATATATATATATATATATATATATATATATATATATATATATATATATATATATATAACAAATATTATTTTTAAATTAATGAGTGAATCTTAATTTTTTTTATAAATGAGAATACATTTTATTTATTTAAATATTTTATAAATAATGTCAAAACAAAAATAATATTCTATACAAGAAAATATACAATTCATTCCATTATTTTTTTATATGAAAAAAAATTATATTTATGATCCATATATAAATCAAAGGAAAAACTTAAATACAATTTCATAGGTGCGGTTCATAATTTTCTCCAATTAAAATATGGCAAATATACCCGAAAAATTTTTAAGGAGTAAAAATAGAAAAAAATTATATATATATATATATATATATATATATATATATATATATATATATATATATATATATATATATATATATATAATATATATATATATATATATATTATATATATATATATATATATATATATATATATATATATATATATATATATATATATATATATATATATATATATATATATATATATATATATATATATATATATATGAGAAAATTATACGCATATCATAATTTTATTAAAAAAAATATAATCCACATCTAAAAAAATACACCTAAGTTTTTTGCTAAATCAAAATATATCTTTTTAAAATTTCTTTTAAAAAGATAACTCTATTAACCAATTTTTTTATTAAAACACAATATAATACAAAGATTTCACCGGGAAAGTTATAATAAAAAAGAAATACATGCATCACAGTGACAAGTGACGATAACTGAAAGGGGGTAAAAAAGCAGTGTTGATGGTAGAGCGCAAATGAAAGCTGGAGTCGCAAACAAAAACAGTGATTGATTCTAATGAGACGAATCAATCACGACACGCCCCAATCCTAACTCAATTCTCCAATCACATGTAATCAAAAAACCAAAACCCATTTCTTCACATTCTCAACGTTCATACTCAATTTCACCATCTCATTCTTTTTTCCATGGCGTCGAGAACCGGCAACTCAAAGCTTTCCTTCGAGGTTCTCCGCCGAAATCCAATCGTTGAAGAAGACTCCTTCCTCCATCGTTCCAAATCGGATCCAGCGACTCTCCCCGATCGCAAGAAACGTAAGCACCGAGCATCCAAGAAGAAGAAGAAACTCCTCGATCCCGCTGATTCCGTTGCCGATTCCGTTACCGATTCCGTTGCTGATTTCGGCGATCCGAACAGGAGGACTGGATTGCCGATTGTTAACGGACGATCTTGTAACGGTTTCGGGATTGACGAAATGCGGTATTGCGGTAATGGAGGAAGCGTTGTGTATGAGGAAGCTAGTGAAACGAGTGTCTGTGCTGTTACTGCGGCGCCTGAGGCTGGTTCTTCGTTTCCGACCGTGCGTGGGAGTGTGGATGGGTTTAATTTCGGTGAATTGAGGCAGAGGAATGTGAATAGCAGTTCTGAGGATTTAGTTGCTTCTGTCGTGGGTGATGACGGTGAAATTGGGAAGGGCGATGATAGTGTGAAGGCGAGTCCGAGTCCAATCGAGCTCGAGACGCCGAGAAAAGAAACTGAAAGGAGTGTCCTTTCGAAATCGGAAACAGTAGAATCGGTTGACTGGAAGCGGATAATGGAAGAAGATCCGAATTGTGAGTTGCACTCACGTTCTTTGCTCTACATGCAACATTGCATATTGTACTTTTCTGTAAAGTTTTCTCGAAATTCAGTATGTGATCAAACTGTAACTTGCAATTTGATGAAAATTAAACTAATGGATACTACTTTAGTTGAGCAAACTGGATTCATGTTAGGATCTAGAATGAGTTTCTGAAACAGCCAATGGTACAAAAAAAATTGCATGTATGCTGATCGTTTTTCAAATACCATTCTATAATTCTATCCTTAATTGTGGTAGAGTTTGTTTGGGATCCAAATTCTTTAGTAGTTTGCAAGTGCGGCTTTTCTTTTGGTATTCTAGTTCATGCCTGCGTCCAATTAGTTACTACCTAGCTCTACAGCTTTTTCTAACATTGCATGTTCTGCCTAAAATTTTATTTTTAATCTATGTTACAACAAAATTACACATAGGCTTGGTGATGTCAAGGAAATGAAAGTTTGGTTGTGCCCGTGTCCCTATAAGTAATGTGCCTGGTGGCATGGCTGTGATAAATAATTGGCAGTTTTGATAGGGCTAAAATCCTTTGCCGGTTTTTGATTATGCTCCAGCAGCTCAATTATGACTCGATATTAGTAAAATGGTCTATGTGATTTCTTAATGTGAAGCTTTTTTTTTTTTGCTCAACTCTCTTTGTCATTTTAATTTACTCATACTGTGTGTCCTTTTTGGCTTGATTAACCTTTTGGTGATATGGTTTGATGTCAGATGTGTTCACAGTAGATAGATCTCCTGTAGCATACTTCTTGGAGGAAATGTACAATGGGAATTCTTTACGAAGCACAACTACTCTCGGCAATGAAACAGAACGAGAGAGAGTTTATGACACTATCTTCCGCTTGCCATGGAGATGCGAATTGGTACACTTCTTTTTCTCAAATAAAAGGAAGAATAAGTAAAGGAGATTTCTAGTTATATTCTTGATATATCATATATGGACATCTTCTCTTTGTTTAGTTTCATGAACTTTTCCTCCAGAGTAGTGAAAGTAAATTCAGATGTTAGGGGAAAAGAAGTAAAATTTAGACCTCCCACCTAATGCATAATAGCCAACTTATATTGCATATTTTGTCAAGGCATTCTACATTTTGTATTGTGGTATCTTAAACATGGAATGCAATTGCAGCTTATAGATGTTGGCTTCTTTGTCTGCTTCGATTCATTTCTTTCGTTATTAACTATTATGCCAACAAGGATCTTGATGACCATTTGGAGGCTTCTAAAGACAAGGTATACCTCCTTTCTTAATTTTTCTTTCCTTGTAATAAAATGTTAGTTGGGTCTAATGTGAGGATTTAGGTGATAGACTAATCTTACAGCATCAGTTTCTTTAATTTAGACTTGTCGTTAAGCCGTGCTCATCGAGTACAATCGTACTAGTGTTTTAGATATCATTGTAAATCTTGGAACGATGAAACAAAATGGTTTTCCTTGGACCATGTCATCCCAAAGTTCAAAATATAAGATACATTTTTAGAACTTGTTTGTTTATATGCATACTGAGTTAGTCAATGATTTTCTAGTAGCTGGCAAATCTCTCCTTAATACTTGTTTTTGGGCTTTGATTAGTATTCCCCTTATTCAGTCCATCCAATTAGTATTCTGTTATTAAAATTTGTGATAGTCTATCATGGTTTTCAGTGTTACAATATGACCTAATCATGCTTGTGACAGACAGTTCAAGAGGCTCTCAACAATGGAATTGTCAGATTTCGGATGTTTTATTATTATGAGCTGTGGAGTTGTTCTTTTGCAGAGAACAGGTGCAGTGATTCTCTACTCCCCTGATTTATTTATTTTTGTATTGATCGGGTTCCATGTTATACTAATTCTGTTCTATTCTGTCTTTCAAACCTGCTTCCTCAGATATCAGCTTAATATATCATATGATCCGTGGTCAAGGAACAATAAAATTATATGTGGTCTACAATGTTTTAGAGGTGAGCATAAATTCATTTGCAAATCTGGATTATGGGGAGTTACTAGCTCTCCATATTGCAAAATTTAACCACACTGTATATTTATGTTATTGAGTTTGTGAGCAAGATCTCCAAGGGACAAAGGGAATTTTACAGTAATTGGAAGAACAAAATTTTGTCTTTTACAAGTAAATCATGAAACTATGACATTTGATGGAATCAAAATTTGCTGTATCTGAAAATTGTTAGTATCAAATACACATCTCCAACTTGTTTAGTTTGTCATCACACCCATTATTTGATCATATAAAGTAGTAAACTGACAAATAGAAAAAGCTGATTCATATTGCCTTAAATAAGATTTGGGACAGCCCCAAACCCAAAGGGAAATTTAACAATAGGAGTGGGATTAATGAATGATACAAATGATCTGATGATAGTTTTTTGAAACATCCATATGGGTATTCCTCTGCCTTTTTGGTGCTTAAACAGTTCATCAGTTCACAGGTACTGAAATTGTAATCTATGCAGCTAGAGATGTTACTCGTGGTTACCTACTTTCTACTTATTTCATAATAGCCAAAAATCATAATATCCATAATGAGACTTATACTGTATGCCTGTAACTGATAATTGAAATTCTTGCAGATATTTGATAAACTGTGTCAAAGTTTTAATGGGGATGTGTTGCAAACATCATTTCATTCTGCTGAAGGACTTGCAAGTTGCCCCCCAGAAAATATGAGATTCTGGCTTTGGAGATTTATTTGTGACCAAGCTTTAGCTGTGGTAGCTTCAAATATCCTTTTTCATTGGGTTGACTTTTCTCCCCAGTTGTTTGGATAACTATTTTCTTTTGTAAAATAAAAAAGAACTTCGGACTCGGTTATTGGGTTCCTTAACCAGTCTTACTTGTTCATTCTTTTGTCTTATTAGCTCAGGCGATCACTCTATCTACCTGTATAGTTGCTCACAACAATGCGCTGTTAGCTTTGCTGGTGTCAAATAATTTTGCTGAGATCAAAGGCAATGTGTTTAAGCGATACAGCAAGGATAATGTTCACAGTTTGGTTTACTTTGGTAAGTTATCTTTTTTACTACGGTTTATGTTCTTTGTTTTCAGCTTATTTGGGGAGCTGCTGGTAGCAACCTTGAGTTTGTGTCTAAGCTGAAGAAACTTGGTAGAGGAAAGAGGTTTTGTAAGCACATCAGCAATCTGATCCACACCAGGAATGTGAGCAACTTGGATCTTCTTGGCAATGACCTTTTCTCTGACAAAAAAGAGATCTATTTCCATATGCTTTGTCCTGGAGTGCATGATAGGATTGTGTGCCAGCATTACTGCAGACTGATTGTCACAAAGAACCACTGGTTGTTGAGTGGGAACACAGTTCAGTCAACAAAGTTTGAAGCCAGAGAAGATCAGCTGTGGCCTGGGCTAAACTTCTGTATTCTGCTTCTGTGCTTGACCTAGCAACCACAGGTTGCTTCTTTGACCACCAGGATACTAGATTTCCACCAAAATAGATGGCTGCACTAGATGTGCTCCTTCTGTCATCTGGGTCTGAGGCCCAGTCAGCATCATAGAAAACCTGAAGGGAAGGAGGCTTAGAGGGAATATGAAGGGAGAGATGAAGACCATGTTGAATAGTGCCTTTTAGGTACCTGAGGATTCTTTTTACAGCAATCCAATGTGTTTCCAAGGGGTGAGACATGAACTGGCAGACTTTGTTTACTGCATAAGCAATGTCAGGTCTTGTGATGGTGGCATATTGAAGGGCACCCACCACTGACCTGTACATATATGGATCAGCAAGAGCAGGGGAGCCAAGTTTAGTGAGCTTGCAAGAAGACTGCATAGGAGTGGCAACAGGACTAGAGTCTGCCATGTGAGTCCTCTGCAGTAAATCTCTAATGTACTTGGTTTGGGTGAGCAACAAGGATCCCTTAGCAGCAGATTTAACTTCAATCCCAAGAAAGTAATCCAGGGCGCCCAGATGTTTAAGAGAAAAGTCAGAGTTAAGTTTATTTATGATATACTGAAGTAGAGAAGAATTGTTACTGGTGATGATGATATCATCAACATACACCAGCACATAAACAGTGTCACCCTTTGAAGCAAAAATGAACAGAGAAGGGTCACATTTGCTGGGTTGAAACTGCAGTTTAAGAAGAGCCTCCTGTAACCTCTCAAACCACTGCCCAGGGGTCTGTTTCAAGCCATAAAGGGCTTTGTGCAGTTTTGCACACAAGAGAAGAATCTGAGTGGACAAACCCAGGAGGTTGATCCATATACACCTCTTCATGAAGTAGCCCATTAAGAAAGGCATTATTTACATCAAGCTGCTGAATGGACCATTTGTGAGTAAGAGCAATGGTCAAGATAAGTCTAATAATAATGGGCTTTGACAACAGGGGAAAAAGTCTCATTAAAGTCAAACCCCTGTTTTTGATGAAATCCATTTGCTACCAGGCATGCCTTATACTTGTTGACTGAGCCATCTGGATTTTCCTTGATGCGGAATACCCATTTGCAGCCTATAGATTGTCTGTTAGGTGGAAGGGGCACAAGAGACCAGGTGTGATGTTGGACAAGGCATCAAACTCAGACTGCGTATCATCTTTCCACTTTGTATCTGCAAGAGCCTGCTTGACAGTCTTAGGTTCAGTATGAGTTAGTAACAGTTTGGGATTAAGTCTGGGTTGCACAAACCCAGCTTTGGCTCTTGTGGTCATAGAGTGTTGATTTACAGGTTTGGAGCTGACTGCTACAGCATTAGCTGGAAGAGAAGATGAAGTGGAAGCAGTAAGTGAGGTGTCTGAAGGAGATGGTATATTTGGAGCAAGAGTGGAATCTGATAAGAGAGTCTCAGATTCAAGAACAGGCCGAGTTGAATTATCTGAGTGACTTGGGGAGGAACGGGCAGCAGGTGAAAAGGGAACAGCTGTTAGAGGAGCAGGCTTAGGATGAGATTCAGGGGAAAATAGAGAGGATAGAGGTGAGGAGGAGTGCTGCTTTGCAGCACTATCTTGAGTAGAGGTATGAGAAGCAGTGGAGGAAAATAACTCAAGATAGGGAAATCTTGATTCATTAAAAAAAACATCTTTGGAGATGTATAGTTTGCCACCAGGGGATAGACATTTATATCCCTTGTGAGAATTGGAGTACCTCAAAAATAGACATTCCTGAGACCTAAAGTCCAGTTTGTGTGTGCATTGTAAGGTCTCAGTAAAGGAAAGCAGGCACAGCCAAACACTTTCAAAAATTTATAGTCAGGAAGAGTGCGAAATAGAAAAGTATAGGGAACTTGAAATTGAATAGCTGCAGAAGGAAGTCTGTTTATAAGGAACACAGCTGTTGTGAAGGCATAATCCCAGTACAGTAAGGGTAATGATGCTTGACTCAAGAGAGTTAAGCCTAAATCCACAATGTGCCTATGCTTTCTTTCCACCACAACATTTTGATGGTGAGTGTGAGGACAAATAATTCTGTGCACAATCCCTAAGTCAGTCAGAAATTTGCTAAATAGGCGGAACTCCCCACCCCAATCTGACTGAACAGCCTTGATGGAAAAGCCAAGTTGCAGTTCCACAAGAGACTTAAATTGCTTGAAGACACCAAGAGCTCCAGCTTTGGATTTAAGTAAATATAGCCAGGTAAATTTGGAGAAGGCATCAACAAAGGAAATGTAATAATTGAACCCTTGTGCAGAGGGTTGAGGAGCAAGCCCCCACAGATCACAATAAACAAGTTCTAAAGGATGATGGTAAGTGGTGTGTGATGATGGTGAATGCAATCTATGTGCTTTACCCATGCAACAAGCAGAACAGAAATAGTCATGATTTTTATTGCTGAAATTGAGATTACAACTTTGTAGCACCAATCTCAAAGTGTTAACATTTGGATGGCCTAGCCTTAAATGCCAAACATTGGATAAAGAGGGAGAAATAGTAACAGAATTAACAGAAGGTACAAGTTTATTTGAAGAATCTAAAGACTTGGCAGATTTTGAAACATTTAGCAAGGGAAACTCGTATAAGCCATCTGATCCAACTTGACCAACCAGCAAAACAGCATTAGACACCTGAAATTTGACAAAGCAGGAATTAGCTGTGAATAGGAAGTAAGCATTATTGTCACGACAAAACTGGCTCACACTTTTCAGATTCTTGGTAATAGAGGGCACATGTAATAGATTATTAAGTATGAGAGGTGTGTGAGGGTGATTTTGTGACAAAAACTGACTAGAACCAGTAGAGTTGATAACTAAATCTTGGCCATTTCCTATGTAAATCTGTTCATTACCTTCAAGAGGTGTAACTAGTTGCAAGTTACTAGCATCATTGGTAACATGATAGGAAGCCCCTGAATCAGGATACCAAGACATAGCTGAAGAAGAAGGAGCAGCATTTGCAATGAATGTATGGGAGCAGGATAGGCAACTGCTGGCCTTGCTTGAGGAGCTGGAGGCCTAGTCCACACATTTGCAGAAAATTGACCATAAGGCACCTGAGAGAACTGACCCTGCCAAGGAGCTGCAGTGTAAGGATTACTACTGTAGGAAGGAGGCTGAAACTGCTGATTGAACCTGTGCCAGCAATTGAAGGCAGAATGGCCAACTTTGGAACAAACTTGGCACTGAATAGAGGAATTCCTCCACCTCTGCCTTTGCCACGACCCCCTCTGTTAGACCTACCACCTCTGAAACTGGAATACTCAGGCTCAGCATGAGAGGGAGCAACCTGAGAGTTAGTAGAATCACTGCTTCCAGATTGAGGAATGTCAGGGGAAGATAACTGAGGAGAAGTGTGTGTAAGATTGAGAGATCCAAGATCAGGTATAGTTGATTTCTTGAATTTGTTCAGCCTCAGTTCATGTGCAATCAGGAGGATTTCAACCTCATCTAGATCCATATCTCCAAATTTGCTCTCAACATCTGATACTACAGGAGCATACTCACTAGGGAGTCCTTCAAGAATCACATCAATGTGATGAGAACTTGGAATAGGATCACCAATAAACACCAATAGACGCCAGTGCATCAACAATCATGCATATCTTTAACAAGTAATCAGAGACAGATTGGGAATCAAGTGTTAGGGCACGCATTTCGACATGCAATTGGCGTGCACGGGCGTGAGTTTGCTTCTGGAAATAACTAAACAAGCAATCCCACTGTTGATGCGAATGAGCGAATCCAAGCACACGAGACAGAATTTCACTTGACAGCGTCAATTGAAGCCAAGAAAGCAGTAATTGATCCTTTTGGAGCCAAATCGAGTACGAAGGATTGATCGTACCTTGACGGCGAGCATCATCGTTCAGAAATTTGGGAGGAATCCGAGTGCAGACGACAAGATCTGTGAGGTTACGTGCGTTGATGTAAGGCTCCACTTGTTGGCGCCATAGATGGAAGTTCTTCTCATCGAGCTTGTGCGCGATCTTGAGAGAGAACTGTAACCGGCGAGAAACATCAGTCGCCGCCATCGGCGGTGAAGATGGCGACGTAACGTGAGCGGAAGACGGCGATCCCGGTGGAGAAGTGGACGCCATGGATCGAACCTAACAAGCTGATACCATGATAGAATTCATAGAGTCTTTTCTTTTTTTGTATAACAGAATTCTGTTATCTTCTAAAGTTAGTTACAAATGATAGCACACAGTTGCATTTATAGTTGCAACTGTGTGGCCTGCTATAGCAGGTTATCTCCTGATACATCCTGACACATGTCAGTTTTACAAGGCTACCCTTTCTATCTTAGCTATATTCTAATATATATTCTCTCATTTTGTCTCATAAGTTGTTAATTTTTTTATTTTCTTCCATTTCTTATGTGACAAGCAGATTCTGTGGAGAGATTTCACATTTCAGCGTTTATCTTATTCGTTTTAGCTCAGAATATTCTCGAGGCAGAGGGTCCCTGGTTTGAAAGCTTTCTTTATGTAAGATTTGGAAATATTTTAGCTCCTACAATTTGTTGAATAAGTTTAGTTTGTCGTGTGGAAACAATTTCTCTTATTGCCTTAGTCTTGCTCCTGACATATATTTTGTTTGATCCAGAATATCTTCTTGGTGTACGTATGTGAAATGGTTATTGATATTATCAAGCATTCATTCATTGCTAAATTCAATGATATTAAGCCCATTGCCTACTCTGAGTTCCTTGAAGACCTATGTAAACAGGTATTTCAACTGATTTATGTATATATTAAGAAACTGATATGATTAGTTGTTTTGAAAGCTATATGATTAGCTGTTTTGAAAGATATATACAGCTGGAACCACTTTGATAATGTGATATCTTTTTTCGAATTGCTACTTAGCTGATAAGCCTTATTGGGTTTTTGAGCAAGAAACCTGACAATGCATCAAGATACTCCACGAATTTGTTTCAGACGCCTTTTGGAGTTATTTGCCACAATAATCTTTATTGTTCAGGTTTCTATATTGAAAAAGATCTCCTTTTTTTTAAATTATTTGTGTCTTTGATTTAATTTTCTGATGTATCCCCCCACCTACATTGTTTATTCCATAATGTTAAAAAATTAATTTCTTTTACCATGTAGCAGTTTCTTTCTTATACAATACTACCTCATTTTTTTAATTATAAATGGTTTTAACATTTTAACATGTATTAAGAAATGTAATCATCGTTGAATGAAAAAGATAAATAATGAATGATTTTACAAAATTGTCCTTTAAAGAATTGAAAGAAGAGAGAATAATAAATATGATAGGGAAAATAACATTAATGATTCATTGGTATTGCAAAACCACTTATAATTTTAAACAGTTTTTTTTCTCAAAGCGAATTTATAACTAAAAACGGAGTGAGTATTACGTATTAGTGCATACAACTATACAAAGTGTATTGTATCAAAACAAAAATTTAGTGGACACTTGAGAAAGCCACTATCAGTAACAGTAGGTTAAGAATTATGTATAATTCTGGATCTTTATATTATGACAATAACATTGCATTAACCTTGTAGCCTGTTAAGAATATATGCCTGACCTTGAATTTTCGCTTTTATGTAGACTTTAAATTTGCAAACTGAGGGTGTAAAGAAAAACCTAACTTTTGTCCCCCTTGCTCCGGCCTGTGTGGTAAGCATAAATGAGTTTCAGATCTTTGTTTAGTTTTTTCTGTTTGCTTGCATCCAATTTGATGTCTGTATATTTTTTTCCTTTCATTACTTGTTCTTAGGTTATTCGAGTTCTTACCCCAGTATATGCTGCAAACCTTCCTCAAAATCCTCTTCCATGGAAAATTTTCTGGATTCTGCTTTTTTTAACAATGACCTATGTTATGCTTACAAGCCTCAAGGTTCTCATGGGTATGGGCCTACAGAAACATGCCACTTGGTATATTAATCGCTGCCGAAGGAGGAAGCATCACCTTCATGCAGATTAGTTTAGGAGGTCAAATATTACTGTCTTGAGTTAATGTGCTCTGCTGCCCAGGGAATCACACTCATGTGCCCAAAGGACTGGAGACTTTTCTGAAATGCCTCAGCTCTTGCTTAATCATCGGTGAATGGCACATATGAGAACAACTTTATCGGTCTTTTGATAAGACAAACCTGGAGATGGTTTCTCCTTCCAATTTTGACAGCAAAGTATAGTTTGATGGTTACACAATAAGGATAGAAGTTTTGTTTTTTTTACAGAATAAGAATAGAAAGTTATATAGGCTGTGTAGTTGTCATAGGTTATAATCATGCCTCCCCTTCCATTCTAATTAAATTTGGCCAACTGATAAAACTTGAAAAAAAATAACATCATAGTTTTCTTTTCATTAAACAAAGTTACTTCCCATTCTTCCTTAAAGGCAATGCAAAGCGTGTTTGGCTACATCAGGGTGCTCAACGGGTTCCAATAGAGACATAGAAATGCATTAAAACGATTATAATGATGGCGTGTCTTGAGGCGATTTAATGAAGAGAGGAAGCAGAGACGTGAGACAGCCCAACTTGCTTGCTTGACTGTGTAAGTCACTAACGACTATTTTGAAGTTTATTTGCATAAACTTGTTCAGTACAAGTTGCATAAGCATGAAACAAAATAAGCTATGATGATCAGTAGGGTTTAAAGATGAGAACCTTGATTTTATCTCCTATTATTTTACTATAAATGAACAAGTATAAAGATACAAGCATAAAAAGAAGTGTGAAATTATTCTACGAAATTATTGTTTGGTATTGGTTGGAGGCGCAGAGGAACTTTCATGTTGACAGTGAGCCCAAATTTCTCAGTCATGTCTATTTCTTGAAGAGATGCATCATTTGTAGGTAGCTTCCAGTCAAACCAATACAAAAGATTAGCAACCATATGCTCGGTGGAAGCAAGCCCAAACCCAATACCCGGGCAATTTCTTCTCCCAGAACCAAACGGGATAAATTGGAAGTCTTGACCATTGAAATTAACCTTGTTATTTTCAAATCTCTCAGGTAGAAACTCTTCTGGCCTTTTCCAAAATTCAGGGTCCCTCTGGATTGCCCATGCATTGATATATACCAATGTTTTATCAGGAATATCATACCCTCCAAGTTTAACACTAGATGTTGTTTCTCTAGGAGTCAAAAGAGGAGCAGCTGGGTGCAGCCTCAAAGTTTCTTTGATTACACATTTCATGTAGGCCATTTGATCGACATCACTGTACTCTATTTTTGATTTATTCCCTACAATTCTCCTTACCTCCTCCTGTGCTTTCTTCATTATGGCTGGATTTTTTACAAGTTCTGCCATAGCCCATTCAACTGTTGTTGAAGTTGTGTCACTTCCTCCTAAAAACATGTCCTGAAAATATTAGCCACTGTCAGACAATAAGCTAATGCTAATATAAAAACAACTTCTGATGTTTTATGAATTACTAATATAATATAGAGTGAGCTTTTAATTAGTTATATTATAAACCAATATTTTAATTGCCATTGCGACACGTCCAAAATCTTGATGTCTTCATCAAGATCAAGGTCGGTGATATTTGAATAGAAATTGTCAATGTATTTGGTATTCCATGAGGAGAAATGGATTGAAAGGATAACCAGTAAGATTGCTTTTAAGTCATTTTCTGTGAGGTCGAACTCTGAAAGACCATCAGCCTGAAGTTGAAGTAGAATGTCGAGGAAATCTTTCTTGTTGGGGCCTTTCCTGGCCATCCTACGCTCTACAATTATATGATCAAAGAAATCGTCCATTTCTTCAAAAGTAGTCTTAAATTTTTTAATTTGGCCAGTAAGAACATCCACCCAACCCAACGAAGGAAACAAATCTCCCATACTAAAATCTGAAATTTGAACCATTATCTGCCTGCCAAGCTCTCCAAATCTGCAACCATCGTCGTCATATTTTTTTCCAAACATACACCTGCAGATTATGTTGTTTGCGGTTGCTATCAACATCTCACTAAGGTTCACAGTGAGACAACCTTCACTCAAACTCAACGCTTTACGTATCTTATCAACCAACGCCATCGCTTCCTCCTGTCTAATAAACTCTACTGATTGCACCCTTTTCTGACTCAACAATTCAATCACACACAGTTTCTTTTTCTGTCTCCATGTATCACCATAAGTTGCAAACGCAATGTCCTTGCATCCATAGAGTAAGGCTTTTGTTGATGTCAGGTTCGGGCGGCTCGCAAAAATCATATCATGTGTATGCATGACTTCTTTGGCCATGTCTACTGAGGAAACCACCAGCACACGAAGCTGGCCAAGCTGCATCAACATTAGAGGGCCATACGTTTGTGATAGGGAATGAAAAGAACGATGAGGTAGTGTTCCTAGTTGAAGGTAGTTACCAATTATTGGCAATCCAGGTGGGGATGGAGGTAGATTTAATTTGTTTATTCTTGTGAACTTTAAGACAAGCAGTATGCTGATGAAGAAGGAAAGAAACATGAAAAGGGTGGTGTTTAGATCGAGCTTCAGAAATGATGGTAGATATTGGAACATGTTGCTGTTGAAAATATCTATCTTTTATTTGTTATTTGATTTGATGTGTGTTGTTGATTCGTTATGCATGTGTGTTTAAATAATGAGAAATCAACCTCGTACCGTAAGAAGCTACAAAAAAGGATACGTACGTGTTGCATTTAGGTGGTAGAGGTGACGCCATTCTTCTGATCAACCCGTATAATTTGAAAAGGATTAGAATTGTTGGGAATGGTATACTCGGTTCTACAAGTAGAATAACATAAAGTGTAGAAGTTGTTAGAATTAAGTGGTTCAATCGTCACTCAGATATACATGTTCATAAAATATATTATATAATTTATGCAGAAATCTAATAGTTATACATGTATAAAATTGAAGGATTTATAAAATAATTTTAGAAATACTTGAATTATCGGAAAAGATAATCCTGAGAATTGAGAGATAAACAATCAATATCTGATAGTTTGTGTTGTTCTTCCTCAACCGATACTTCTAATGTCTTGAATACTAAGAAGAAATAATTTGCTTGTGTACACTATATTATATAGTGTTATCACCAAGTAAGGTTCCCATTATTCTCAAATGGATCATCTCGACATCCACTCATATTTGAGCTTATACTCAATTAATTAATTAATTAATTTCTAAATAAAATCTAAATAATCTTTTTAACATTATTTGATCACATGATTATTTAAGACACTTTATTTGATAAAATAACTAATATAATTAAATAAATATATTAGGACACATAATTATTGTAATGCTAATATATGATTAAATAATTAAAATATTTCAACAATCTCCCACTTGGCCAATATATCTTAATAATTATATCATAATTCTTTAGGCGCGCATCTGAATGTTATTTATCTTTAGATTTAAACTTTACAATCTGGTCCATCTAATACATCAATAATGAGACCATCACGGTTGTCGTCACTAACGTATAACGTGACGAAACTCTGACGACCACCACATCGACGTACTTGATGACATAGATCGATATGGAAATTTCATGCAATGTGATCTCTAAATCATGCAAATTTCTAACTGGTTCTACTGGAGTCTTTAGTGAGATCAAACTGAAGTTCCTTATGTGCAATTCAAAATTACAATATTTGCACTTAACAAAAAACAACTTGACTTTGTTATAACAATAGTACCTCATAAGTTTTTATTTTTTTAGAAAATTAAACATAACATAAAGTTTGTACTAAAATAAAACCAAAGTATAGAACACAGAAAAATAAGGGAAAAAAACTTTCACTAATCTAAGGCAATCTCAAAACCAAGACTCATGTGACCAACATGTCTGTGAAAAGCCTTAGGTGTCAAATATTTGGTTAGTGGATCAACTAGCATTAAGTTTGTCCCTATATGTTCTATCAAAATTTGTTTCTCCTGAACTCTTTCTTTCACAACAAGATACTTGATATCAATAGATTTTGATTTTGTAGTACTCATATTTTTGTTGGAGTAGAAAATAGATGCACAATTGTCACAATAAACCTTCAAGGGCCTTTCAATACTCCCAATGATACGTAGGCTTGTGACAAAGTTCTGTAGCCAAATTACATGATTTGATGCCTCAAAGTAAGCCACAAACTCTGCTGCCATGGTAGAAGGAGCCACTAAAGTTTGTTTGGAAGATTTCTAGGAGACAGTTCCTCCAGCCCAGAGAAAAATGTAACCAGAACATCCTGCAAAATCTTAGTCAGAATACCCAATGATCTCTAAGTTATTTGACTTCTGATAAGTGAGCACGAAGTCTCTTGTTCTCTTCAAGTAGTGCATTACACGCTTTACTGCTATCCAGTGCTGCATATTAGGGTTGCTTAGATATCTGCCAACAACTCCTACAATGAATGCTAAGTCGAGACAGATGCAAACTTGAGCATACATAAGACTTCTCACAGCTGAAGCATATGAAACCTTATGCATCTCTTGAAGGTGTGAAAAATATAAGAAAGGGGGGGGGGGGGGGGGGTTGAATTGGGTTTTTAAAAACAAAATGATTCTTTTAAAAATATTCCCTTTTTAAGTTAAATTTTTTTTCCTTCACTTTTGATAATAACAATAAATAAGAACAAAAAGTAAAGAACAATATATGTTTATACTAGTTCACTTGAAAATTATTAAGCTAGTCTAGTCCATCTGCCAAGGTGATTTCGTCTCACTTAACCGAGGACTTAATTCACTATAACCAAACTGATTACAATTTGCACAAGCTACCCACAAGTGACTAACAATCTCTAGACTCACAATCCCTAGACTTCTTAAGGATTCAGACCTATTCGTTCCCTTAAGGAATATCAACTAATAATCAGCATGATTATTACAATGCACAAGCTACATGCAAGTGGCTAAAAACCTCTAAAAATTACAAGCTTTAGACTTCTTAAGGATTCAGACCTACCCGGTCCCTTAAGGAATATCAAACAACAGTTTGAATACAAGTTTTGTTTACAAGAATGTTGCTTCTAAAAAGCTGAGTATGTAAACTATTTTATAAACAGTGACTTAAGAATGTGAAAGCAATGAACGACATTTGTGCGTGAATATTTCGTTGGTTGGCTTCCTTCTTTTCTTAGTTTTCAAGCCTTTATATATAGTCATTAGCATAATGTACCCGTTGAGGGATACTCTTGGAATTTCCAAAAACATTGGCAGCTTGAGCAGTAACGTGGGGGACAAGATCGTGCGACACGCCCGTCCTTTCATGGTAGTGGAATGAAATATTGATTGTACCATGTACTATTTGTACCACGTTAACTTTATCTTCTTTCCTTCTGCACTTCAGAGGCTTCTACAAGCATGAGTTTAAAAGCGAGAACATAACATTAGGTCTTCAGAACTTCAAGTCTTCAGAGTCTTCAGAACTGTGTCTTCAGAGTCTTCAACACTTGATCGTGAAAACCTTTTTTTGAAACCTTGGGTCTTTAGAAATTCAAGTCTTTAGAGTCTTTATACATTCTCTCTTTTAGAGTATTCAATACTTGGTCTTCAAAAGCCTTATATTTAGAACTTCATTAATAGAAACACAAGCTTTCAGCATCTGGACTTCAGTAGAAACTTTGTCTTCAGATCTTCTAACTTTGTTTCTTTGGAACATGTTGTCTTTAGAAGCTTGAGTCTTCATCATTTGGACATAAGTAACAACTTTTGTCTTCAGATATTTTGACTGGTTTCTTCAGACAAATATCAGAGTTTACACTTCAAAGCCTTATGGAGTGTCTTACTACTATTCAACAGAACTTGTGTAGCATAAAAGCGGAATTAATTCTCTTCTAATGTCTTGGCCATGCCATTCATCAGAAACAGAACCTGTTTATTAAGTACTCAACAATAACAAATATTAGTATGACAAAATTATTGTTATCATCAAAACTCAGAGATAATATTGCAGAACCAAATCTTGTTCTTACAATCTCCCCCTTTTTGATGAGGACAAAACTATGTATTTTGATGACACAATTTTGTACATATAATCATAATCAGTGAAATTAGAAAAGTGAGAAATACTTATCCCTTTTCTGATACTCCCCCTGAGTTAATGACTTGATAAGATCGAATATACTGACTATGAACCATTTGAGTAAAAACTCCCCTGGTTCCAATAGATCAGATATCGAGATCTTCAGAGTCTAGACTTTGGATGCCAATAGACAAATTGAGATCTTGATACACATAACTTCTTTATTGAATCTTTGAAACTTTAACGTGACTAAGATATCTTCTAGATTTTTAATTGATTCTCAACTTTAGAGTCTATTTCTAGGTTTTACTTCTTGAAGTCTGATTATAAATTGATGAACATCTTCAGAGTCAAAAGCTAACATATTAGGCATAAGCTTTGAATAGTGCTTTCAGATCTTTGTCTTTTAATCAGAGTTCTAATTTCCTGAAAAAGAAAAAAACAATTCTAACAGAAACAGGAGTTTAACTAGGTTAGAATGTAAGCAGCTCTTTTCAGAGAACATTTTCCAGAACTTGATTATTGAAATCAAAATTACGTTCATTTAAATTACTCCCCCTTTTTGTCATAATCAAAAAGGTAATTATGTGTGAAAAACATAAAAACCAGAAGAAAAAAAAAAGAAATTTCATTGATATTTGAAGGAGATTACAACAGAGTGATCATAAACATGGAAAGCTTATTTAAACTTTAAACATATCAAATCTCTCATCAAATAGAGCATTGCCTTTGATGAATAAATTTTGTTGAACAATTTCAATTATACCTGCTAACTCAAATAGTTCAGACAATACACGTCCATATGGAATGAATGGTTTTTGAGAGTTCCTGGATGCTTGTATTGATAACTTCAGATGATTGAATATTATTTCTGAAAGATTAATTAGAATATTCTTATGAAGGCAATAAAGAAGACATATATCCCTAGGAAAGACTATATCAAGATCTTCTCCTCTGGGATGAAGATTTTTCAATAGAAATTGAAACCAGACTTTTGAAATTGGTTTCAAGTGATTTGCACTAAGGTGCTCAAATCTAAATGAAGAGTTAGGAACAATTGGAAACATGTCAGCGTTCATGCAGGAGTTGGGTAAAGGTGGACTCTGAATGGCTTCATCAATAGAGGAGCGGGTGATGGTAATCGGAACATCGAAGATGTGAGAATGAATGGTGTTTCCATCAGGACTAAAAAAAGCATGGAGCCAAAAATTATTTAAAAGGTTAGGATAAACAGGACCTCTCAGCATTGTTATATACCCAAACCACTCTTGATTTTTAATGACCCTGTTGATGAAACCATCATCAGACACAAAGCTGGGTCTGTTTTCTTTGATTACTTCGAGAAGATTTTCATCTCCTTGAAAAGTTCTAACAACCATGATATGTAGACAAGTTTTTAAAAGAAGAGACGATAGAAGATGATACAAGGATAATGACTTGATGAATGACTATAGATGAAAGGAGATATAAATAGTCAGTCAAACAGTTCATAAATTAAAACAATTGAAACACTCAAGTGACTTCTCAGCCTACTAAAAGA